CTCTACCCTCCGCTCTGTTTCTTCCCCCCTTGTGTTCTCTCTCTCTGAAAATAAGTAAACTTAAAAAAAAAAATGCAGGATTTGGAGCAAGACCTCACAGTAAATAATTCAGTGAGTGAAGAAAAATGGGAAAAATGGGAGATGCACTGGCTTGAAGAATGGTGTGAAATGGAGCAGAAAGGAGACGTAAAATGGGGTAGATTGAGGGAACAACAAGAAAAGATCATTAGACTGGAGCAGATGGGAAATGGGGAGAGTAGGCAGGTGAGTTGGGAAGAAGAGTGTAACCAGGGATGGGGAGACAGGTGTCCTAAGGATGAGGTGCGCAGGCCTAAACACAGCTGTGCAAGGATAAGAGGCCTGACTCCAAGGATTTTTACTAAGAAGGGTATGGAAGTAAGGTCATGTGTTTAATGAAAATCCATAGCAACCACTCCCCTAATGAAATTCTATAGCTTCCGTTAGCAGACATGCCTAAAGTAAGGTTGCCCCCCTGCTAAGGGCCATGGGCAAATTCACATCTTCATTATCACAGAAGAATAATAATACAAGAAATGTCAAAAATAATCTTTTTTTTTTAAAGAGAAGTTACATTGTACTAGCATGTTTTAATCCCTACTTTCTTTAAAAAAAACAAAGGCAAATACACATAGAAAAAAACCCTTAAACATATATACACTTGAATATTACAGTTTGTCTCTACATTCACTGAACATATCTAAGTGCCTGTGTGTGCCCACCACTGTTTGACATGTGGGATTACAGTTGTTGCTGCTGCTTTAAACTTTCCCGTTTTCAAGCTTCTCCACAATAAACATTTATTTAACAAAAAGTTAGACACACTTGGCCACACAGCCAACCCTTGAAATAGTGGCAAGAATGCTAAAAAGTTTTAATTCATATTTAAATTTTCTTTAAGTTGTAGTTTTGAACCACAGAGAGGCAACATTTAGATCAGGTAATTTTAGAAAATCACATGCAAGGCAGTTTTGAAAAGAAAAGTTGTGCGTTCCCCAAAAGCCGTGTTGTCACTGCAGGTCTCATTCAAAGTATCTTCACGGTAAGCTGTGTGACAAAAAAAGGTAAAAGAGAACTGGGCTACTGGCAGTTGACAATCTAGAACAATAAGTACATTTAAATTATCCTCTCCCCAACAATGTGTATTGTTACCCCAAGGTCATACTTGATCTCTTTTGTTCCCACTAAACCACCACAGACTACAGCCACACAGCCAAGAGATTCAGGAAGCCTGCAGGTTTTTTCTGTCTCTGTTGTATTGACTGCTCTTTCTCTCAGGTTGTCAACCACTTATCTAATAGCTATCAGCAAAGAAAAAAACTGGCCTTGCTCCAAGCTGTGACAGGACCAGTGGCCAGAAGCCTTCAGGGACTCAAAGTACCTGGCTCCTGAGGGGCTTCACCCAGTTGTGGGCTCATCACAGAGCATACAGGTATAAAAAAACTTCTTGGGCCTCAGTCTGAGGACATTTTTTCTGCTGAACGGGACTGGAGAAAATTGACCATTTTCAGCTAGTTCACTGCCTGGTCCAAAGCAGGAAAAAAAAAGAAGGTGCTTTGCACAGTAACCACAGTTAACTACTGTCACTACAGCAATGCCCCAACAGGCCTCTCCAAGATGTTGTATCTCCAGAGAGTTAGGGATTCTCCAGATAGACGTGGTCTTTCCTTAAGCCAACAGTAACCATGGAAGAAAGGCTTCTGGGACCAAGATCTCTTGTTCATTTGTGAAGGCAGTTTAAAATCAGTATCCTGGTATTATAAATGACAAGGGCCATGAACGTTTTACCTCAGGAAAAATGCACAATAGCAACAAAGAGAAACATAAAGAAAACAGGGATGCCAGTCAACAAGCTGGTGGGCAGTGAACAGTATTTAACACATTCTCTGGCTACTCATTCTCCAGCTTTCCTTTAAACAGTAGGTAAACTAAGA